AAAGAGGAGTCAAGGGGCATCGAAAGGGGGAGGTAAGGGGCATCGAAAGAGGAGTCAAGGGGCATCGAAAGGGGGAGGTAAGGGGCATCGAAAGGGGAGTCAAGGGGCATCGAAAGGGGAGGTAAGGGGCATCAAAAGGGGAGGTGAGGGGCATCAAAAGGGGAGGTGAGGGGCATCGAAAGGGGAGTCAAGGGGCATCGAAAGAGGAGTCAAGGGGCATCAAAAGGGGGAGGTAAGGGGCATCGAAAGGGGAGTCAAGGGGCATCGAAAGGGGGAGGTAAGGGGCATCGAAATGGGAGGTAAGGGGCATCGAAAGGGGAGTCAAGGGGCATCGAAAGGGGAGTCAAGGGGCATCGAAAGGGGGATGTAAGGGGCATCAAAATGGGAGGTAAGGGGCATCAAAAGGGGAGTCAAGGGGCATCGAAAGGGGAGGTAAGGGGCATCAAAAGGGAGGTAAGGGGCATCAAAAGGGGAGGTAAAGGGCATCAAAAGGGGAGGTAAGGGGCATCAAAAGTGGAGTCGAGGGGCATCAAAAGGGGTGGTAAGGGGCATCAAAAGGGGAGTCAAGGGGCATTGAATTATTGAATTATTAAAATCTGACTTATTTTGACCATAGACAAAGTATACTGGATTATTAAAATCTGACTTATTTTGACCATAGACAAAGTATACTGGATTATTAAAATCGATGTACAAATTCTGTATATGGTTACTGCATTGTACAAATTCTGTATTCATGGTTACTGCAATTAATCGTAATATTTTCACTTTACAGGGTCTTCCAGATTTAGAGAAAGAAGTTTTATCGCATGAACAAAAGTTTAAAGATTTAGGAAGTATAGAGACACTTAGAGAAAATAAACGCAAATTACAACAGGCATTTGCATGGGCTCAAATACATGAGATGGAAAAGGTAATTATTTAATATTAAGAGTTTTTTTGTCATCAGTGTGAAGCAGTATGACATTCTCCTATTTGAACCCAAATTTAGAGGCTTTGGCCAAGGATTAGGTCATCTGAACATCTGACAATTTGATGGTTTGGCCAAGGATTTTACAGTTTAGGCTATTATAATTCATCTGAAAATCTTGGATTTTGATGGTTTGGCCAGGTTACTCACTGTTTGCTGTTGTAAACCTTGCCTTTCCTGAATATTTTTGTTAGATATATTAATTAATAATATTACATCGTTTTTTTTCAATATTAGGAATTGGAACCACTTAACAAACAAATAAGAACAGAGGAAGCTAGAATTCCTAAATTTGATCAGAAAGTTAAAGAATCTCAGGTAAATTGCAATCATTCTCTCCAGATGATTTTTAGTCCCCGTTCGGACGCAGTCCGAAAACGGGGACTTATGTTTTGACCTCCGTGTGTCTGTGCGTCCCTGTGTGCGTCTGTGTGTGCGTCCGGACCTGTATCTTAGAAATGCCTGGACCAATCACAATCAAACTTCACACATACATCATACATGATATTATACATATGCACGTCAATTTGTTTCACGATCTGATTCAAGATGGCCGAATGGCGGCCATTTTTGTGCTAACAAATCCTAAAAATCAAGCATTTCTCGGCTGTTTACAGATGGATTTTGTTCAAACTTGGTATATACATTAGACATTATAGGACCTTGATGCAAATAATTTTGTTTTTCAGATAAGATTCAAAATGGCCGACTGGCGGCCATTTTGTTTTAATAAATGTGGTTCTCGTGCCATATCTCTGACTTGCTTTCACCGACTATGTTCAAATTTTAAATATTCATTATACATCATGTCATAGATAGACAGATATATAGGTTTGACGATCCTATTCAAAATGGCCAAATGGTGGCCATTTTTGTCCTAAAAATCATCAAATATCAAGCATTTCTGGCATGTATGGATGGATTTCGTTCAAACTTGGTACATATAATAGACATTACAGGTTCCTGATGCACATCATTTATTTTTCAGATCGGATTCAAAATGGCTGTCTGGTGGCCATTTTGTTTTAATGAATGGGCTTGGAGATCCATATCTCCGACTTGTTTTGACTGATTATATTTGAATTTTAAATATTCATTATACATCATGTCATAGATAAACATATATTGGTTTGACGATCCTATTCAAAATGGCCGAATGGTGGTCATTTCTGTGCTAAAAAATCATCAAATATCAAGCATTTCTGGCATTTATGGATGGATTTCGTTCAAACTTGGTACATACATTAGACATAACGGGTTCCTGATGCACGTCATTTTATTTTTCAGATTGGATTCAAAATGGTGACTGGCGGCCATTTTGTTTAATGATTGAGCTTCTAGAGC